GGAAGAAGTTGTTCTGGTTGACCAAGCAACAGCAGTTGTCCCTTCTATTAATCCATTCACAACCAAACCATCACAAGTGAATTTACTCTTATACATAACTACTTGAGATCTGCCAAGTGAGCCTCACCAAGCAGTTTTGCTCCATTTATGCCCCTAACAGTCACCTTGCTGGGTCTCACCAGTAACCCATGATTCATTTTACAGTGAAAATATCTTTTTCCATTGACAACTCCATCATTCTTGCCCTTGGGTGTTCTTAGTTCAACGCCAAGCCAGACACCATCAGCAAAATCTGTTGGACCAATGTAGCGAATGATGCCTGAAACAAAAGTTAAGACCAATAAATGTAACCAGTGTTAAAAAGTCTTTCAGCATATCATATCATATCTGCAAACATGATTTTGGATTCAGCTTTTTAGTTAATATCATGTCAAATCTATTCCGTGATCACAAAGAATAATGAAAAATGTATATGACTAATGAAATATTTTGACATCAATGAACACAAATTCTATTGCTAAATGAAAATACCTAGTTCATTGTTGCAGAAGACACTCATTCCTTCTGTCAGACGAAATTCCCCTGTTGTTGCGTTGTTTAGAGATACTCTCTTTTGTGTACCTGCACTTCGGGGACTAAATAAAAAATAAACATAGACATAATCTTCACTTTAAAATTAAACCATACATCTTAAAGTATCCATTTTATCCTAAGTGTTTGAAAATGTAACATCCTTCAATGGTCTTTATTCTTTATGTCACAAAGCTAAATTAATTACAGCAATATTTTCTTTTTAATTAAAATTTTTCATAACAGCAGCATTAAAAAATGTCTCAGAGAGCAATTTAACTGCCAAGTGATTTCTGAAGTCTATCTCAAATGTGTACTCAGTTGACTGAAACAGATGCTAAATAACCATTATCAGCTAAATAAGTGCCTCCAATCTAAATACACCAAGCTTTATAAATGCTTTATTAAAAATCAAATTCTGTTATAGTTATATGAAATGGGTTATCTCACAACATTACTAAGAAGTGCACTCAACAAGGTGTCAATTGTTAGTGTGTTTAACTGCTGGGCTCATGGGAAAAGAATGTGGATGAAATATTGCCCTGAATGTGATCAGTTTTGCCTTCTGATCAGTAAGCAATATCTGTAGAAATAATGACAGAGTTGTCCATGTCAACCTATATTCAATTTGAACCTAGCCTAATAAAACTATTATTCAATAACCACACCAAAATAACTTGCAAAAACAAAACAAACTTATATGAGGAATGCAAAACAATATAACAAAACAAACCACACCATCACTGAAAGAAATGGAATATTGAACTTATAAAGTTTGTGTATAAGAACGGCTGCAAATGCACTAATGATGACCTCCTGTGCTGGTCTTACCGCTGATACCGAGGACTAAACTTTGATCTAGATGACCTTGATGACCTTGAAGACCTAGCTGGACTGGACATGCTTTTGTGAGATGAAATAATGAGTATAGGAGGCAGCACAATACAAGCATAACATGTGGCAGGTTAGTTGTGACACAACAAATGGCAAAGGGGAAGTAATGAAGATGCTTTTGCAAATAGCATTTTATATCTGCACCATTCAGTGATTCATTTAACTTAAAGCAGTCAAAATTTGGTGAATTAAAGACACTGGACATACAAAAGCTAATAAATTTTTCAAAGCTGTAGCATTTAGCAGTGTGTCAGCAACACACTGACTTTTACTTTAAGAAACAGCACTGTTAACAATGTCATGGTAAGAGTAAAATGCTCTGTCTGCAAAACAGACTGCCAACTATTATGACGGACATTTATCTATATATTTATTAATATTAAGTTTTTCCTTTTTCACAAAATGAGAAAAGAAACAAAGATATGTATTTCACACAATACTATGTACTAAAGAGAACACAATGACTTTTACTTTTACAATATTTAGAAAAAGTGCATCGGCACAAGCACCATACTTTGTAAATTAGTATCTATGCAAAGCAAAACATCTTAGACAAGCAAAATGTGACTAAAGACAGAACTATATAGTCTTACCGACTAACTGGTGTTCTAGACCTGGGAGTCCCAATACTTGCTATGCTAGACTGGCTGCCACTGCGACTACGTTGACCCTCTTAAAGAAATATTTTCTCAATATAAATCTGAGGATACACTGTACGTCAACTGAACTTAAACAAAACAAATACATAATCAAATAAAATAACAAAATAGAAATAATGAAAAATAACTTCCATTTATTATCACTTACACAAAATACCATATGCTTAAGATTTAATCCATAGCACAACTTAATCAATCCAAGAAATAAAATTTCATTGCATCTAAACGCATTTAATTTGAAATTACAGCCAGTTATCTATTTGTCAAATGTATTTCTAAGTTACTAGCAATTATGCTTTCAGACCATATAGAAAGATGCTCACCATTCAGTGCAAAAGCTCCCCCTAAGGAATCCAGTGATTCTGTGGAACCCATGTAGGCTGGAACTCTGAAATAGAAAAATTAAACATAAACCATTTCACATATCCAATTTCTTTTTTTTTTTTAACTCGGGATGGGTGAATTTTTTGTATCAAAGGATGCCAAAATTTATCATTAATTATCATTATGACTTAAAGATACCAATGATAACAGTGCAGATTTACATACATAAGTATAAATTTCAGATAATACATGCAGATTCATAATTTTTACAGAAAGATAATAATAAATGCTCTAGATATATCTAAATGAATGAATGACTGAAAAAGGTGCAGTTCACATGGAGCATTAAGGGAAAGTATTGAATTTTGTATAAAGGTTTTTGTATAAAAAACTCAGCCCTTTGTTTATAAGTGCACTACTGATACAGCATATGACTTATTGTGCAGTTTGACTTTTTTTTACTATTTTGTCAGAAAAAAGTTCATGGCCTACTTTTGGACCCTGCTACTTGGGGCAAAGACTCCATGCTTTGGCTTGCAAGTGAAGTATCTGTCCCCATTCACCGACCCATCATTCTTCCCTGCTGGCCTGTCCAGTTCTATTCCATACCAGGTCCCTAAAATACATGACCATGCAAGTGATGGACTNATGACAGAGTTGTCCATGTCAACCTATATTCAATTTGAACCTAGCCTAATAAAACTATTATTCAATAACCACACCAAAATAACTTGCAAAAACAAAACAAACTTATATGAGGAATGCAAAACAATATAACAAAACAAACCACACCATCACTGAAAGAAATGGAATATTGAACTTATAAAGTTTGTGTATAAGAACGGCTGCAAATGCACTAATGATGACCTCCTGTGCTGGTCTTACCGCTGATACCGAGGACTAAACTTTGATCTAGATGACCTTGATGACCTTGAAGACCTAGCTGGACTGGACATGCTTTTGTGAGATGAAATAATGAGTATAGGAGGCAGCACAATACAAGCATAACATGTGGCAGGTTAGTTGTGACACAACAAATGGCAAAGGGGAAGTAATGAAGATGCTTTTGCAAATAGCATTTCATATCTGCACCATTCAGTGATTCATTTAACTTAAAGCAGTCAAAATTTGGTGAATTAAAGACACTGGACATACAAAAGCTAATAAATTTTTCAAAGCTGTAGCATTTAGCAGTGTGTCAGCAACACACTGACTTTTACTTTAAGAAACAGCACTGTTAACAATGTCATGGTAAGAGTAAAATGCTCTGTCTGCAAAACAGACTGCCAACTATTATGACGGACATTTATCTATATATTTATTAATATTAAGTTTTTCCTTTTTCACAAAATGAGAAAAGAAACAAAGATATGTATTTCACACAATACTATGTACTAAAGAGAACACAATGACTTTTACTTTTACAATATTTAGAAAAAGTGCATCGGCACAAGCACCATACTTTGTAAATTAGTATCTATGCAAAGCAAAACATCTTAGACAAGCAAAATGTGACTAAAGACAGAACTATATAGTCTTACCGACTAACTGGTGTTCTAGACCTGGGAGTCCCAATACTTGCTATGCTAGACTGGCTGCCACTGCGACTACGTTGACCCTCTTAAAGAAATATTTTCTCAATATAAATCTGAGGATACACTGTACGTCAACTGAACTTAAACAAAACAAATACATAATCAAATAAAATAACAAAATAGAAATAATGAAAAATAACTTCCATTTATTATCACTTACACAAAATACCATATGCTTAAGATTTAATCCATAGCACAACTTAATCAATCCAAGAAATAAAATTTCATTGCATCTAAACGCATTTAATTTGAAATTACAGCCAGTTATCTATTTGTCAAATGTATTTCTAAGTTACTAGCAATTATGCTTTCAGACCATATAGAAAGATGCTCACCATTCAGTGCAAAAGCTCCCCCTAAGGAATCCAGTGATTCTGTGGAACCCATGTAGGCTGGAACTCTGAAATAGAAAAATTAAACATAAACCATTTCACATATCCAATTTCTTTTTTTTTTTAACTCGGGATGGGTGAATTTTTTGTATCAAAGGATGCCAAAATTTATCATTAATTATCATTATGACTTAAAGATACCAATGATAACAGTGCAGATTTACATACATAAGTATAAATTTCAGATAATACATGCAGATTCATAATTTTTACAGAAAGATAATAATAAATGCTCTAGATATATCTAAATGAATGAATGACTGAAAAAGGTGCAGTTCACATGGAGCATTAAGGGAAAGTATTGAATTTTGTATAAAGGTTTTTGTATAAAAAACTCAGCCCTTTGTTTATAAGTGCACTACTGATACAGCATATGACTTATTGTGCAGTTTGACTTTTTTTTTACTATTTTGTCAGAAAAAAGTTCATGGCCTACTTTTGGACCCTGCTACTTGGGGCAAAGACTCCATGCTTTGGCTTGCAAGTGAAGTATCTGTCCCCATTCACCGACCCATCATTCTTCCCTGCTGGCCTGTCCAGTTCTATTCCATACCAGGTCCCTAAAATACATGACCATGCAAGTGATGGACTGAGCCTGCACAAATGTGTAAATGTTTCTTTATTATACAAAAAAGGTTTAAATAGCTGGACATGCCTTGTCAGTTCATCTGTTTCTCATGGCATTCATATGTACATACATGGGCATCAGCAATTAAAATAAGAATGAAAATCAGTTCTGGCTAATTTTCAAGTACTTTTATCTGTTAACAATGCTGCATTCCATATGTAACACCTATATCACAGTATTAAACTTTTATCCACACCAACATGCAAGCCTGTTTAAGGTTTATAAACGTCTGTGCAGTAGAAAAAAACACAAAAAGCCACTGAACCCCAGATGCAGTCTGCAATGCCCTGCTGAAAATCTCTCGCCCTATTACAATATTAACCAATGAACATCACATTTACCACTGCCACAACAGAGGGACCATGACAATAAAAACTAACAAAATCAGAAGATTGGCATATACCGGTATCATAGGTACTGTCCACCATATACAACAGGCATGCAGTGCACACAACTGATGTATTAAAATTCTCAGTATCAAAATGCATGTAGTATACAGTTTCCATTTCCTCTATCACTTCCCATGCAAGAAGACATAGTTCAGATCCAACAATGTTTATGTATCTATGAACAATGGGAGGCACAATTGGTCTCTCTACTCCAATGTACAGACACATAAAATTACCTTTCTGTTCTGTTTGTTTACTTTCATTTGGTTCACCTATATCTATATCTACTGCATACCACACTACAAATGAGTCAATGCATGTAAAATTGCTACATTGCCCACAAAATAATCACAAAAGATTGAAAATATCAAAACATAGAAATGAAAATGAAATGTCAAGTCTTCTTTCAATATACTGAAGTTTAACAGTAGATGTAAAAAAATGAAAAAATCCACTCATTACATAAAGATATAGTTCAGATAAATGTTAGTGTAAGCAAAAGCTGAGGTTAATAAGTGTTCCTGTGGAAACATGAGAATATAAATAATTTGCATTCAACAACAAATTTCTAACTTCACAAAGAAGAGATTGAATACAACTACCAAAGGCAAGTATGTAACTCTTCTGCAAGGTACAAACCAACTGCTTCTTGGTGTTTACTTGTTGAAGTACATTGCCAAGGAAAATTGTATACATTTACCTGGTGCAAACTTGGTTTCTCCAACATATCTGACAGTGCCCTTTCTCTGTCCTGCCACTATCACCCTGTCATCTAACTCTGCTTCACCTCCTTCTGATGGTGTTCCAGATCTGGACTTGGTCTTTAAGCCTGTAAATACATTATAATAAGAGCTTAGTCAATTTGTAATGTTAATAAGACCGTGTCTAGGAATGATGCACATAATAGATACATCAAAGCATTGTGAACCAGCTTCTGCAGTGTGCCCAACATCAACTGTTACCCCTGTCATGTCAGACTTACCTGTGTCAAAGTCAGCTGTAACAGTAACACAAGACAATTTGTAAGAGTTGGAGATTCATAATGTGTACGTGCATCAATGTATGTAAGTATGCATGTATGCATGAGTAAACAAACTTAACCTACATTACACGAGATATTTATCAACAGTATCTTAAGACTGGTTTATATGGTTCATAATTACCTGTATCAATCTTAGATGTTACCCTTGACAGATCTGGAGTACCATAGTTGATATTTTTCTTGCCTGGTGTAAGGCGACCACTTCTAGGAGTGGTAACGCCTGGTTTTGAGATTTTTGAAATTGGTGCAAATATACCTAGTAAAAAAAATAATAGAATTTTCAATCTTGTATAACCATCCAGTTTTTTCTCAGCTAGATGAAAGTATCAAATAAACTTCCAACCGAAAATACATACGTACTGCAATAGAAGTAATTATCCAAAAATATCTAACAGAAATATTTACCATGCTTAGGTGAACACTTGAAATATGAGATTCCTCCTACACTTCCATCATTCTTTCCCTCTGCCTCCTCTAACTCAATACCAGCCCAAATCCCTGTAGCAAACTCTGCTGGACCGCAGTATCTTAGGAAGCCAGTCTGAAATCATCAGGCAAAAAACAAAAATTGAAAAGATATAAGGAACTTGGCCTGCATTTTAAGACAATAAATAATCTTGGTGGATTTAAAGTAAGTGACAACACTGCTTCCCAGTTACTGTGGCTACAAGAAATGCAAAAGGTTCAGTTTCCATTCCCACACCACAAATGTAGATGATGGAAATCTGTAAAGGATTTACTGTATTTGTATATAAAAACTGGACAATATACAAGTGGTGGACTCTGTAGACCACTGTATCTGAGATAGCTAGTTTGAACTTTTTACTGAAATTCCAGTCAAAACCCAAGTGGCATATCCTACTTGACTGGTGCCTAGAGGTAATTTATGATGAATAATAAATCATGAAATATTAAAAAATACACCACTAACTTGTCCCATCTTAAATCACAACAGGACTGCAGTGCCACCTATTGTCTATCTCACCTTGACTCCTCCTACTACAATCTTATCCCCAATCTTCAATCCCATTGCTTGCAAAGTAACTTTGCTCTGTATGCTGTCATAGTTTGGAGGTGGTAGTTTGGGTAATGTGGGCTCTGCCTCCATCAACATCTTCCTTAGCTTCAGTGCTTTCTTCCCTAACTCTTGGTTGCCATCCAGAGAGCTCAGTTCAGGGATACATTCTAGACATACAGTTATATAGTTTAAGTTGGGATGTTACATAGATATGATAATTTTTAGCAAAAAAAAAACTTTGCAATTAACTTTTTGATACTTGCACGAGGAAAAATGGTCAGATTATGGGCGATTTCAAATTATTTCTCCCACTGTAATATACTGAAATATATTTTTCTTAATCAAAACTTTTATTAATACATATTCCTGCCAATTTACTTTGAGAGAGTTAAAAAGATGTGTAATTTTGGGGGGATACACTGCATAATGGTCCTCACCAGTATTTTCACTCTAATTTTCAACTTTCAGTGATTGATTGTAATGAACTCTAAACAGCAGTTTAAAGATTAGGTAAAAAAGTGGGTGTAACAAAGTTCAAGTTTCTTCAAAAATAGACAAACAGAGTAATTTGCACTCTAATATTCCATTGTAACTCTGAGTGCGCAACACAGCTAACAAGATTCTTTGATGGTTTACCAACAAATATTTTCCTTGAAAACTAGGTGCACATATTGCTACAGAACAAGGTTGCCCTCAGGTGTCCCTACCAATGGCTGTCCTCCCCAGACTGTCCTTAGCCTGAGGATTGGCTCCATGCTCCAGGAGAACACCAGCAGAGTCCAGGGACAGGTTGGTGGCCGCAATGTGCAGAGGTGTGCCCTGCTCAAACTCTGCACAAAGGTTGTCCACATCTGGAATATGTACGGTAATGACTTTAAAATTTCAAACACCACATTTATTCTAACATCTTATTTAGTTTACAAAGATTTATTGTTTTTATTCACTAATAAAATGCATTTTCTGGTACAGAGCCAACTTACTTTTCAAAACTTTTGAATTAATATTGTAGAATGCGATCAAGTTTAATGAGTACTTACTATATTGTTATAGTTAATAACTGCATTCTTTGTTTTCATTAAAAATGCATTTAAATCAAAAATGATCTCATATAATATACATTCCTGTATTTGGTATTTGCCATCTCAGATAACACATTATGGTGTTGTTTTGTCTCTTTTATTTTGGACTCTTTTAGGTGAAGATGTCTGAGTTCAGCAAATACAAGACTGTAAGTATCGATAACCCATGCTTGGAGATTAAAACACACACACACACACATACATACACACACACTCTGTGCATATTACCCAAAGCCTTTGATGCCTCCAGTAATATTTTCACTACAGGTGCCACATCAAAGTAGACTGCATAGTGTAAAGCTGTCATAGCTGTCCACCGACATCTAATGTTTGTGTCTGCCCCCTTGTCCAGCAGGTAGTTGACCACACTGCAGGCTACCTTGACGTCCCCTATGCCACTTGTCCCCGACTTGGCAGCATAATGAAGCAGGGTCATATCAGTCAAGCCGTCATGGTCATTGATGTTAGCTCCCCTTTTTATGATCTGAAAAAAAATTTTTTAACATTATTTAAGGTTTATTTTATACAGACAAATAATAATTATAATAATTCAGTTATCTCTGTAGTGATCAAAATCTTACAAACTGAAATACATGCATACTATCTGTCATTATCAAAGAATTCCATACATAATGCCTTATTAATAAAATTCTATGGATCGAGGTTGTGACAACCCAACCAACACCTTCAAGTTACTCACATCATCCATAATTCAAGATATCACCAGCTGATTTCTTATTTCTCCATTTGTAACTAGAAACATTGATATCCATTGTAATACATGTCAGTTTCTATACAGATTTATGTATATGTAAATCTTGATGGTATTCTTTTAACATTTTGCTTATAAAATATCTGCTCATTTACATACATGTTTTGTACATATATACTGTACATGCATGCTACATGTACAGAAATACATGTAGGTCTGTATGTACAAGGAATTTGCATCCAGTTCATCCAATAATCATACTTTTTTTATTAAGAAAATTAGAAAAAATTGACACTCTGAACATAATACAATGTTGCCAACTTTATTTGTCTGTTTAAAAGTAAGTTCTAGCTACTATACAGAGCACCATATATGGAATTTTATGCTTAGATGTCCTTTCTTTACACCTTTTTTTATGTGTACTAGTAAGTCAAACCCTACTTGTTGAAACAACTTGACACTTTTGATACCATTGCAAAGCAGTCATACATCATAAAATAGAGTGGATTATGCACTTCAAAAAAGTAGGTACATTTTAATAATCATATCATGTACAAGAATGCATACAAATGTAGGTATAGTGTTCTAGTATTATACTGCACCTCTTTGATAAACAACTCCACATTCTGTTGAGTTTGCGGAGTCCATTGTCTGAGAATAGCAAATATCTCTGCTATGGTTGTTGCTGGGTTCATCACCACATCCAGGCACCCTGGACAACTGGGGTCAAAGAATACCATTTCCTGCTTCTGGCATGCCTCACAGAGTGGGGGCTCCACAGCAGGATGGATCATTGGCTTTTCCCGTGGTGAAATGCAGAAATCATTGTTATTGTCGTTGTCAGTATCAGCACCATTATCACTGTGCTGGTCTTCGTCTTCAAGGGCCATCTCTAGAAAACAAAAAGAAAGAAAAGTATGTCATCAAATATTTTAGAATCAGGTTCACTCATATGGTAATGCTACTCATAAGAGTTTAGGACCTAGCATTTTCAAACACGGAGGACACGTAATGCTCAGCAAAACCGTTGAGTTTGAAAAAGATTGGCGCATAACTTACACTCACACGTTTGGTTAAAGTTGATCTAGTTTTGTTGTTTTGCCCATCAGAGTAGACTCATGTACACTGTGTACAGTATTACTACAGTAGTACTGTACAGTAGATACATGGATCTACCACTGCCACTAACATCGCTGAAGCTAGAATAGATCATCTTTGCACATTAATTAAGTTTCGTGAAATTGGTTTACAAATAAAAAGATAATTCATAATAATACTTACACTACTCAAATATAGAAAATACGTTTATATTTCAACGGAACACACCTGTCGCACGTATCAATACATTTCAGCCTCGTTATGAATTTCAAAATGGCTGCGCCCACGCAAAGTTTGCGGCCGTCAAAACAGGTATATTCATATTTTTAACGTAAATTAAGAAACAGTAAATATCTAACAATATATATCATAATAATAAATTGTCTTTGTGGATAGGAAAAAGGCCAATCAATGTGTTTTTATACTCAGTAACCCACGAAAACGAATACGGTTACTCTCAAGGACAACCGATAACGTTAACTGTATACTTTGATTGTAAATGTAAGTATAAATAGTTTGTCTTCTGTTGCAGGTTGCATTCAAGATTAATGGGCATCAAACAGATATTTCATGCACAGACTTTCAGAACAGATTGTTTCTTGTTATCACACAGTTACAGAAAATCGGCACTTTGGTGTGTGGCAAATTATATGTACTGTACATTATTTGTTTAATTATCTTTTATGAATTAGAATGTATAATAAAATAACCTAGTGGTAAATCAGCATTAAAAGTTTGAAATATATTGTTTTAATTATATAATTTTGTCGCATTATACATAACAGTTATATTTATAATTGTATTTCTGGTTTGTTGATTTCAGATCCATCTTTCCAAGGATGTGGTGATGGAGCAGGGTCCCACCCATGTGTACACAACCAAAGTGCTGCTAGGAAAGGATGAGGTATACATCAGTACACAATTCCAGTGCTATTCACAGTATCTTCTTCTAAAAATAATAATAATAAATGAATAAAATTGATATATAATAATAGGCTAAAAAGATAATAAAAATAAATGTGATAAATAGACAAAAATGTTGTCTTAATACTGTTTAAAATACTTTTTGTAATCTAATTTAACTTTACTTTTTTTAAAAAATACATGCACAGAAAAAGTTTGCTAACTGCAATGCCATATGAATAATTGTATTGATTTATTAATTTTCTAGGAACATTTAAATCTCCTTGCCAGGCGACTTGCAGAGAGGATCCCTATAAACAAACCAATCCTGCTTTCCTTAGCACTTAAAGACACTTCAATCATCACACTAAAAGCTATAGAACAACTCATTGTAGACAATCAAATGTGGGAAGTCAGGTGATAGCTGCTTAGCTTAGCTTGGTGTCAGCCAATGGTAGAGTGCTACTTCAAAAGGAGTTGGATGTAACATAGGACTTCTATCCATATTTCCAAAAATCCAAAACATCCTGTCAGTAAAGGCACTGCTTATTACTTGCAGTGGAGAGGGGCCTTAGAAAGAGGGCAGGGCAGATAAGACCAATGAGATTGCAAAAATTGTCAGCAGTAGAAGTACCATATTGTTGTGGTAGGGATGACTGATCTTGTGTGGACTTGGCCATGTGTAAAAATCTCAATACACACAACTGTCAGTGGTCATAATAATCATGCTACCTGTATGTAGAAACTACATAGAATCAGGTTATCGTCAATAGTAAACAAGAGACACTCCTTACAGGTCCCCGAAGGCTATCTGGGATTTTTGAGCCAAATCAAATTTTCCTGGCAAAAAAGTAATTTTCTCCTGCTCCCAAATCAAATCTCTATCCATCCCTGCACTTGGGTTCATGTTTTAGGCCACAATTTGAATGTTTGGCCAGACATCAATACTCTCATGCCTGCCTATACATTTTAGGAAGTATTGTAACCAGATACTTTTGTAAGAGGGGTTTTATTGTTTTTAAGATCTGAATTTGGAATGACAAGTAGCTTTGCAGGATATATAAACAAGCGAGGTCTTTGGAACTTTTTCAGATACTTATAGAATACCTTTAAGTGAATAATTGTGTCAGAAAGAACTGATCCATTTGAAAAGGTATGAAAATAGAACTTTATGGTAGTTTACCTTTACATTATCAAAACTACCCTGATGCCATGGAAACTCAAAGGGCATGCATTTTAAGGTTATATCCAAGTTATGAGAAAAATAAACGAGAGGTACCACTTTTATGATATCTTTTTATTGAAATGGTTAAGTAGAAATAGCTCTATAATGCAATGTATAATGGGTTGCAGATCACATATGGGACTTCAAAATCTAACAAGACAAACAAACAATGGGTAAGGGACTTGATAAACTAACACAAACAAAGAACAAAGACTGGCAAAACAAACAAATATGTAAACAAGGCAGCAAAGCTGTCAAATGTACAGACAAAAAAACAGAAAATAAAGATGCAAATAAGTGAAAAATAAAATTTTCACAAAAAACTGTTAAATTGCCAGAAAAATTTACCAAACAGACTGCATTGCCTATTGAAGCTGTATGTTAGACCCATGTTTCTTTCCTGTAAGTTTGAGAACAGTAAGTGACATGATTCCCCTTAAATGGTCATCATAGGAGCAGTGCCCAAAATAGGGGTTTCTTCAAATTTTGATGCAACATTACATAATGTTGAACAGCATGATGACAATCAAATGTTATTAATAAAATATTAGTAACATGGACATTCAGAAAATGTGACAAGCAAAAGTCTTCAGGATCATGGAACTTTAAAGTCACACCTTGTAAATGCCAATATGTGAAAAATTAAATTTTCACAAAAAA